GAGAGAGAGAGAGAGAGAGAGAGAGAGAGAGAGAGAGGAGGTGGGAGGGGGAGATAGATTGCAACACTGCCTCGTTGCATCCAGTGTATACTATATATTGTGGCACTGTTGCACCCGGTGTGTGCTGTATTTGGTGGAACTGTTATACCCAGATTGTACTATATCTGCCACGGAATATTTTACATAGAATTTGGTTATACAGTATAATGCCTGGAGTGATGAACAACCAGATGAGTTACTAACATAACAAAATTAATTTTAACCAATGCTAAAAATATAAGCAAAGCCAAAAATAATAATTTCAGAGCATGGAGAGGCAACTGGCGTAATAGTCGTTAACTTGAAAAGAAAAACAGAAAATATAGTCCAGATGAAAGCTTGTTTCACGGACTTTATGGAGATCATTTAAATTGTGGAACATTTTTTTTTTTAAGCTAGTTGAAATTGACGAGTTTTGTCGCTATGAGAAGCGTTGCTGGCCGGGAGTTGACTGACTGTTGGCTCCTGAAACATTGGACGTTATGTGCAGCCGGCGGTTAGGTGTTTCACAGTCACCTTTCTCTGTATATTTCACTGTTTCGCTACATGTTTCACCGCCTGTTTCACCGTCTCTTTCATTGGCTGTTCATCGTCTATTTAACTGTATGTCTCGTCGTCTATTTCATCGTAAATTTCATCGTATGTTTTACTGTATGTTTCCTAGTCTCCCATGACGTGTGTTTCACCGTCTGTTTCATTGTCTGCTTCACCGTCTGTTTCATTGTCTGCTTCACCGTCTGTTTCATTGTCTGCTTCACCGTCTGTTTCATTGTCTGCTTCACCGTCTGTTTCATTGTCTGCTTCACCGTCTGTTTCATTGTCTGCTTCACCATCTGTTTCATTGTCTGCTTCACCGTCTGTTTCATTGTCTGCTTCACCATCTGTTTCACTGTCTGTTCACAGTTTCTTTCACCTGACAACTGGAACACTTGATGATATACTGGACTTGTACCTAAGATTGACTTGGGTACAATGTATATAATGCATCAGTTATACAATGTATGTGATGTAACTATAATCTTAGCTTGTGAAAGCATCTTAATCACTTTCAGTGATTAAGCGCTTAATAACAGTAGTTTCTATAGCAGCGATGTTAAAGTAGGAGAGACATTAGTGTGTGTGAATATAAAGGATATGTGTAAGCTGGCCAGAATGGCATTTCAGCTTTGTAAACACATATTAATGAAACTATATAATAAGACACATCGAACATTGTTTATGTAGGACAGACATAAGTCTGTGTATTTATGTATAGAGTAGATTGGCATTTTAAAAGCACTACAATCACTTGTGGTTGATTGTTCTCTAAATTACTGAACTATATGTTTAACAGATCTCTAACCCTGTCCATGGAGGACAAAAGAAAATGTATATATATGCTGCTCAGCATTGTAAATGTGCGGACACGTCTGTGGTAGAAAAAAAACGTCTGTATGATAGTTTCTTTCTATGTTTTCCTGTTTGTTTCACTAATTATTTTTCAATTTCTGTTCATCGTCTGTTTCCCTGTTGGTGTTGTGATGAATTTAACTATATTGATTGTCGACCTAACCTAACCTTCCGGGTGTAATAGCAAAAGTCAGACATACTTGTGATCATATTTTTAAGTCGATGGTTGAAGTGTGTTGGTTTTAAGGACGACACTGTAGCGTCTTGGCTCTTTCCCCTGCTCACCGTGTTCGTGTAGACGGAGGGTGTTCTGTATAGTTATCTGTGCCTGTCACGTCCCTGCTTCGTTATCCGTGCCTGCCACGTCCGTCCATAATGATCCGGGCCTCCAGTGGTGGAGATAATCCCCCGGATTACCATTACAGTGCCTCAGTTGGTTATGGCACTAATTATGGCTCGTTTGTGGCCCCCCTGCTCAGTGGAACACGATTCCGGGAGGTTAGATGATCATAATATCTTAGACGAGAGGTCTGTCAGTGACGGCGTCCTGTCCACCTGTCCACCTGGCCACCCGTCCACCAGACCACCCGGCCACCCGGCCACCTGTCCACCCGGCCACCCGTCCACCAGGCCACCCGTCCACCTGTCCACCAGGCCACCCGTCCACCAGGCCACCCGTCCACCAGGCCACCCGTCCACCCGGCCACCCGTCCACCAGGCCACCCGTCCACCAGGCCACCAGGCCACCCGTCCACCTGGCCACCCGTCCACCAGGCCACCCGTCCACCAGGCCACCCGTCCACCCGGCCACCCGGCCACCCGTCCACCAGGCCACCCGTCCACCTGGCCACCCGTCCACCTGGCCACCCGTCCACCAGGCCACCCATCCACCAGGCCACCCGTCCACCTGGCCACCCGTCCACCTGGCCACCCGTCCACCTGGCCACCCATCCACCAGGCCACCCGTCCACCTGGCCACCCGTCCACCAGGCCACCCGTCCACCTGGCCACCCGTCCACCTGGCCACCCGTCCACCTGACCACCCGTCCACCTGGCCACCCGTCCACCAGGCCACCCGTCCACCTGGCCACCCGTCCACCAGGCCACCCGTCCACCTGGCCACCCGTCCACCAGGCCACCCGTCCACCTGTCCACCCGGCCACCCATCCACCAGGCCACCCGTCCACCAGGCCACCCGTCCACCTGGCCACCCGTCCACCAGGCCACCCGTCCACCCGGCCACCCGTCCACCCGGCCACCCGTCCACCAGGCCACCCGTCCACCTGGCCACCCGTCCACCAGGCCACCCGTCCACCAGGCCACCCGTCCACCAGGCCACCCGTCCACCTGGCCACCCGTCCACCAGGCCACCCGTCCACCAGGCCACCCGTCCACCTGTCCACCCGGCCACCCGTCCACCAGGCCACCCGTCCACCTGGCCACCCGTCCACCAGGCCACCCGTCCACCAGGCCACCCGTCCACCTGTCCACCCGGCCACCCGTCCACCAGGCCACCCGTCCACCAGGCCACCTCAGGTGTTGGTAAGGGAAGTCACGTAATAATCGGGAGGTGTCTAATTATGACTTGTGAAAGTAACTAGAGTATATTTTATATAAACAAACTAGGTGATATCCTCCGGCGGTGCCCGGGTCGCCTCTGGTACCCCAGGTCTGCCTCTTTCTTTTTGTATGTTTATATCTGTCTTCTTGTCTCTTGGCATTTTAGAGGAGAGTCTCTCTCTCTCTCTCTCTCTCTCTCTCTCTCTCTCTCTCTCTCTCTCTCTCTCTCTCTCTCTCTCTCTCTCTCTCTCTCTCTCTCTCTCTCTCCCCCTCCCCTTTACAATGTAATGGGGGAGGGAGGATTGACACTTTGGCAGGTTGAGAGGCAGTGGGTGTTTTGGATTGGGGTGAGTATGATATGACGTCATGAATACATATTATAGGCAAAGTATGATAATTTTTTTTAAATTTGTGGACTTCAATGCATAAAGATTTATATTGAATGCAATTCAGTAATTGCCTGAATGCAATTTAGTAATTGCCTGAATGCAATTAATATTTTCCGAGAATTGTTGAGAAATTCACACTGGCAGTATTTCAGGTGATATTCATTTCACTTGTGCCAACCCCGACCCGAAGATGTTGGTCACGTTCCCCACAAGAATCAGGGTGCAAAGTCGGGAGTGGACAGTACCAAGCGTCTAGCCACCAACCTCGGACAAGGACACACACATTCTGACTTATAGATGAAAATTAAATAACTTGACTTGAGCTTCAGTTGTCTTCCTTACTATCTTACATGTGTGTGTTCCGAACCGAGTGATACCTGTTCCTCTTCCCCCTCGGCACGGAGCACCTGCTCCCCTTTCCCCCTCGGCACGGAGCACCTGTTCCTCTTCCCCCTCGGCACGGAGCACCTGCTCCCCTTTCCCCCTCGGCACGGAGCACCTGCTCCTCTTCCCCCTCGGCACGGAAGGGAAAGGGAACTATCAGAAGAAAGCGCCAAGCCATTACGACTATATGGCACTGAGAAGGGATCAGGCTAAGGATTTCGGACGGGACGGGGAGTGAAGGAATGGTGCCCAACCACTTGTGGAGGGTCGGGGATTGAACGTCGATCTGCATGAAGCGTAGCTCTACCGTCCAGCCCAAGTGGTTCCCCTCGGCACGGAGCACCTGCTCCTCTACACGGAGCATCAGTAATCCCAGGAGCTCATCATCAGGCTTAACTAATTTTCATCATGGCTTCAGTTGGTCCCAAATATTCTTTTATTAAGAGTTTCTGATTAACCTTAATAGAACTATTGTGGATTAAATAAAATTTAAATAGGGCTTAATAGGGATTAATAAATTTAATGTAATCTTCACGAACTATTAATATAGTTTGAATAGAGCATGAATAGGATTTCACCGGAGATTTGAATGGCCTTCTTGGAACTTAAGGAAGACTTTAATTCGGCTTAAACAAAAATTCAAGGGGTCATTTAGAGATCTTCAATAAGATTTCAAGAAAAATTCAAGATGGCTTCAAGAGGTTTTTGAGAGATCCTCGTGAGATTTTAAAGAGGAGTTTTCAAGAGTATTTTAATATTTAACTGTTAGTTTTGAGTGCGTCTGTCCTTGTGAATGTGATGAGAAAATGTTTAAAAATAGACAGTTTCCCCCACCTGTTAATTGAGATGTAAGATGCTCTAATCCTGGAGGAACAGGGGGAGGATAGGGACGCAGGAGGGGAGGATAGGGACGCAGGAGAGGATAGGGACGCAGGAGGGGAGGATAGGGACGCAGGAGGGGAGGATAGGGACGCAGGAGGAGAGGATAAGGACGCACGTGCAAGGTTAGGGGAAGGAAGGGAAGGTTAAGGTGAGAGAAGGTTAACGGAAGCAAAGGAAGGATGGTGAAACAGGATAGGTTAGGGTAGCAGGAGATGGTTAAAGGAAACAGGGGGAAGGATAAGGAATGCAGGAAAATTTTACGGTGACTAGGGAAAGCGTCCCAGTAATACTGAGGAGGTAGGGATATTGTGAGGTAAATATAAATTATTCTGGTTAATCATCAGACTGATCAACTGATCATGAGGATTCGAGATCATCATCCTTAGGTGTGGGTGCTGGGTCATCAACCTCAGGTGTGGGTGCTGGGTCATCAACCTCAGGAGTGGGTGCTGGGTCATCAACCTCAGGTGTGGGTGCTGGGTCATCAACCTCAGGTGTGGGTGCTGGGTCATCAACCTCAGGTGTGGGTGCTGGGTCATCAACCTCAGGTGTGGGTGCTGGGTCATCAACCTCAGGTGTGGGTGCTGGGTCATCAACCTCAGGTGTGGGTGCTGGGTCACCAACCTCAGGTGTGGGTACTATTAGAGAAGTATTGCGGATACAAAGAACCGGAGAGATAGAGACTGTAAATTAAGAAATGAACAAACACTCAAACAAATGTACAAGTAAAAGTGTGAATTAGGACATGGACAAGTTGGAGCAGTAAGTGGAGAGAGGAACAGGGTCTTGAAGCTCAAGCCGAGGGAATACAGAGAACTACTGGAAGCTTCAATACTATAATACCTCTTCATTTGGCCTAAAATTTTGTCTTTTTCAAAGTTTAAAGTCGAGTATGATATGACTCGTGGCTATTTCTTCCCTCTGAAGGCTTTCATTTCGCATTACCTCATTTTCCCTTGGAAATATTGCATATAAACCATTTAATTAATTTTCCATTATTGCTATCAGATCAAGGTTGTGTCCCAGTACTCTTGAGTTCGTTTGCTTTATTTGCCAGTCCATTTGCATAGATGAACCAGAACTTTAGATTCTTTATTGTTGTTGTGTACCCTGTGACGTGGGTACATATAAAGTTTGGGGGTGAAATGAGATGCGGGAGAGACCAGAGACTTGAATGTGTCGGCATTCCCCGTCCATTCCATCCAGCTGTCGACCTCAATGACACATAAATTTTAACATGCTTTTCATTCAAAATAGGAATTTTCTCAAATATAAATTTTGTTATATATTAGCATACTGTGTATATTAAGGCATTGGTTAGATTAGGTGTTTAGGTTCTGTTGGCGATTATTTGTATTTGTAGTACGTGGGTGAAGCATTTACAGCATTGTCGTTCGAACAAAACCCGTAAGTGAGGCACTTGTTCGAGAAGTATTCGAACGTCAATAGTTTGAGTCGTGTGTAAATAGTTGCTGTTGTTGTTGTTGTTGTTGAAGATTCGTAGGTTATTTTATTTTAGACAGCCCGTAGCAGCTAACTTCCAGGTACCTATTTACTGCTAGGTGAACAGGTACATCAGATGAAAGAAACTCTGCCCATTTGTTTCTGCCTCGACAGAGAATCGATCCCAGAGCACTGTTCACTCGGCTGTGAAGACCTGTGTACTCACCTAGTTGTACACACCTAGTTGTGCTTACCTAGTTGTGCTTGTGGGGGTTGGGCTTTGGCTCTTTGGTCCCACCTCTGGTCTCTATCATATCTTCATTTGAAACTGTGTATGGAGTCTGCCACCATCACCTCACTTCCTAATGCATTCCATTTTTTAACTATTCTGACACTAAAAAAGTTCTTTCTAATATTTTTGTGGCTCATTTGGGCACTCAATTTCCTTCTGTGTGCCCCTTGTGCGTGTGCCCCTTGTGCGTGTGCCCCTTGTGCGTGTGCCCCTTGTGCGTGTGCCCCTTGTGCGTGTGCCCTATGTGCGTATGCCCTATGTGCGTGTGCCTTATGTGCGTGTGCCCCTTGTGGGTGTGCCCCCTTGTGCGTGTGCCCCCTTGTGTTAAATAACAATCTTTTCATCCCTAAAGTCGCCCACCCCTTAACTCCCCGACCTCTTCAACCACCATTAGTCAACCCCACTCTTCAATTTCCACCCCTTACTCCTTTAACCAGCAAGCCTTTACCCTCTCCTTCCTCAATATATCTCCACTCACCCCTTTACTATTTATTCACTGATCCTTCACCTCCACCTTTCCATTCCTTTACCTCCGCCAACTCTTCTCCCATCAGAACCCTCCTGCCACCATCAGCCCTCTTGCTCTGTATCCTCTCTCTGCCCCCTACTCTCACCATCCCCCCCCCACCTCCCACCCCCCCACCCTTTACCCCAACCTCCCCTCATTCACCCTCTGAACCTGATTCCCTCATCCTTCGCCACACATAAACCATACCCGACCCCTCACACCCCCTTACATCCCCTCAGCCTCACCCCCACCGTAGTTCCCTCAGCTCCTCACCAACCCCCCTTCTCCCTCACCCCCCGCCACCTCCAACGCTCTCGACGCCTCAGATTCGCCGCTCAACTTCGGCAAACTTGGAGATAAAACTCTACGGAGTTACCTCGCCAGTTTTAAATACATAATTGAGTTGCGACGAGGTGGCGGGTCCTTAATGGCGAAGAAAGACATACAAACTTAGCACCCAGGCAGAGATGGCAGCTTGGAGAACGCCTCACCACTCCAACGTTTGAGACACAAAAAAATAATTGTTAATTCTTGTGTAAGTCGGCCGTGATGAGGCTGCCGCTGGAGTTGACGTAAGAACTTCAGAAGATCTGGAAGGACCAGGACATTGTGTACAGTTTCTCTCGTGTCCTGATAGTAAGGATCTGTACAGTTCTGAGATGTTAACTCGCATCATCTTCATTGTGTTCTCACCGACTTGTGTCCGGGGTTGTAGGAGGCGAGCATCATCACTTAAGACGCTAACTGGGTCCTTCCAGCTTTGTGTATCTTAATTCAGTACTTCTCGACTCTGGTTTTAGCAGCATAATGTCTCTTAAAGCTGTGTATGGAGTTAGCTTCAACTATCCTCCGGTTAACCCGCTTCATTTGATAATCTTATTTTTGTAGTATCTAGCTTTCAATCTTTCCTGTTTGCCATATTGGATATCTTGTCTGTGTCATGTTGCAATCTTGTCCATGGCTTGACTCTCCTTATTCTTTGTCAGTGTTAATTACACTCTCCCCGTCTCTCACACTCCTCGTCTCTCACACTCCCCGTCTCTCACACTCCCCGTCTCTCACTCTCCCCGTCTCTCACACTCCTCGTCTCTCACACTCCCCGTCTCTCACACTCCCCGTCTCTCACACTCCCCGTCTCTCACACTCCCTGTCTCTCACTCTCCCCGTCTCTCACACTCCCCGTCTCTCACTCTCCCCGTCTCTCACACTCCCCGTCTCTCACTCTCCCCGTCTCTCACACTCCTCGTCTCTCACACTCCTCGTCTCTCACTCTCCCCGTCTCTCACTCTCTCCGTCTCTCACACTCGCCGTCTCTCACTCTCCCCGTCTCTCACTCTCCCCGTCTCTCACACTCCCCGTCTCTTACTCTCCCCGTCTCTCACTCTCCCCGTCTCTCACTCTCCCCGTCTCTCACACTCGCCGTCTCTCACTCTCCCCGTCTCTCACACTCCCCGTCTCTCACTCTCCCCGTCTCTCACACTCCTCGTCTCTCACACTCCTCGTCCCTCACACTCGCCGTCTCTCACTCTCCCCGTTTCTCACTCTCCCCGTCTCTCACTCTCCCCGTCTCTCACACTCCCCGTCTCTTACTCTCCCCGTCTCTCACTCTCCCCGTCTCTCACTCTCCCCGTCTCTCACACTCCCCGTCTCTCACTCTCCCCGTCTCTCACTCTCCCCGTCTCTCACTCTCCCCGTCTCTCACACTCCCCGTCTCTCACACTCCCCGTCTCTCACTCTCCCCGTCTCTCACTCTCCGTGTCTCTCACACTCCCCGTCTCTCACACTCCCCGTCTCTCACTCTCCCGTCTCTACACTCCCGTCTCTCACTCTCCGTGTCTCTCACACTCCCCGTCTCTCACTCTCCCCGTCTCTCACACTCTCCCGTGCTACACTTCAGTCATGTCACCCCGGCCTTACTCTTCACACTATGCCGTTTCCTTAGTGGCGTCTTGACAGTGCTGAATGGAAACTTTACGACCATCGTTTCTATTCCTTGTACGTGTGTCTTCCTGTTCCTCTATCCCTTCTTCTCTTTCGACTAACCTTACTTGATACTGCCCTCCGTTCCATCCCGCCAGGAAGTGCATTACTTGGCGGAATTCGTAATATGAACGCATTGTCCGCCGCGCCATTAATTTTGTTGAGCACAGGAGTTGGAGATCGTATGTCTCTGATACCTCTGTTAACTCCTCTCTCCTTATCTGGAAGACGATCGTAAGATTTGCGGAAAAATGTATTATTGATGCAGTGTTCATCCTTCATCATTTGTAGAGAATGACCTGGGTTGCCACTTCTCGTCCCTTAGCACCAGTTCTCATCTTCCTCCTGCCTTACTTTCCAGTAAACCCCGTGCCGAGTCCCGCTGTCTAGACTTCAACATTCTTCTCCTGTACTCGTACAATGATTATTTTCTAAACTTCAGTCTGCTGTTTCCCATTGTCACTCCATGGCAGCGGGATCCGATGGTATTCACTATGAGATGCCCCGGTATCTTCCCTCCCATCCCTTATAGTTTTTATTTATGTATTTACAACCAGATCTTGGATACTGGATCCACTCCAGAGGTTACAGAGGATATTCCAGAGGTCTGGCTCAATGTGCTTGGCCTCCATATTAGGAAATCCAGAACGAAGAGAACTTCTCCTTGGAATTTTCGCCCCATCGGCCTCAATAGTTGGGTTTACCAATTTTTGAAAGCATGATTTACATGCGTCTTATGGACTTTCAGGACATAATTGTTGACTCTCCCTCTTCGTTTAGTTTTCGTAAGTGAAATGGCGCAACTGGTATCTTGATAGATTTGGAAGTGTTCGTTCGTGACATTTTTAGTGGAAATTTATTGCTAGCAGATGACACTTCCTAGAAATTTATTATATTAGATTGATTTAATTATTGTTGACGTCCTAAGGAATTTACCGAATCTTCCTCTAAAACTTCCTCTTCAAAGCTTCACCTCTTCCTCGAACATAATATTATTGAATCCTTTGCGTGGATGACCTCAGTAGTTGTTGCGATAACGGTTCTGCTCGTTCTTCAGCAGCGGTTCCTGCTAGCGACGCATTGTGTATCGTTCTAAACATCTCTGCGTGGCTTTAAGTTCTTCAGTATGAAAACTTGTGCTGTTACTTTAAATGAAAGTTATCGTCCACCGTCCGCACTTATCCCCGTACAGAAGTCAACTTACATATAAAGATCATACAAAACATTAAGGTTGAAATTTACCTCAACCTCTTGTGAGTCCCATGTCGAATACATTCGACAAGAATGTTCCAAGGCCCTAACTTTACACAGAGCCTCGACAGATATCGCCGGGCTGTATAGACGAGCAATTCTCCATTTGTGATTCCTTACCCCGTCTGAACTGCCTTATGAATGCCTAGAGTATTCGCTGGCTTCACCCTCGACGCTTCGCGGAAATAGGTATTTCCTTCGGCGGTTCTCACAGACAATCTGGCCCCCATTAACGCTCGCACCACACTTTATAAGGTGCCCCGCTTGACAGCCCTCCACGCTCTGTGTAGTCCTTCGCTCTGTGCATGTCGGTATTGTCTCCTGTCCGACATGCAGCAACACCAGCAAATTCCTTACTCGGATTTGTGTCCTGTTGTTTAATCATTATCTGTACCAAATTACGCACTTTCAAATGTGATCTTCTCCCATGGCCTTCCTCCTGCCACCAAGACAGGCAGTGCATGGTGAACACCTCTGGCCAGGCTACGTCTGGCCGCACACTCACGGCCGTTGTTCCATATCAAGTCACTCAACACTTCTAGTAATGTGCTAATTTGCAGGATGACTGGAAATTTTGCTTTCTACCGGCTCCTATGTCATGTGACTCCTTCAACATCGCTAATCTTATGTTTTTGTGCTCTTGAATTCATATCTTAAATTATATTTAGAAATTCTTGAATATTCTATAAGATAGCCGGTGCTGTATTGTCTAACTAGATTAAAACATTATTTTGATAATTACATATTGACGATTGCAACGCCGTTTCTGTTGGCCTATACGAGATAGCTTCTATTAATATCCAACTACATCCCAAATGCTTATCAAATCTGTGCTCGAAACGTCCCAGTGAGTTTGCTCCTGTGATATTTCTTAATAACTTGTGCAACAGATCTGAAAATAGTTTTTTCCGAACCTGTGTTTACCCATCTCCTGTCACTCGGTGATAGTCACCAGGGCTTCAGAGTGCCTGCAGGTGACAACTCTCATCACCGACACATAACGAGCCTCTCGCAGAAGTGGTGAGATGAGAAACTGAACAGATTAACATTGTTATGCAGAGGATCCGCCCGAAGTAACATGCAATCAGCCCAGGAATCCTGTCCAGTTCTTGATGGGTCCCTTCAATCCTGCGCCTCGTGTGTGTATACCAGGGGATTATCCTCCAGATCTGACCTTTCATGACGACCCGGTGCCCGTGAGGCAGGAATGCTTGCCTGTCCCTAGCTCTGAATAATGCCACAAACATATCAGGATATTACTGGTTTAGGATTAAGGTAAAAGAATATTCCGGTGATGGCATCAAATCTCCGAGTAAATAGCGAGTGTGTTAGCAGGAGTTGGTGTGTGTGGCAGTGTGTGTCAGTGTTGCAGTGTGTGTTAGTATGGTGCACTATGTATCAGTATGATGCAGCGCCAGTGTGATCCATTGTGTCAGGATTGTGTAGCGTGTCAGCCCAGAGTGTCAGCCTGGCGTGTGTCAGCCTGGCGTGTCAGCCTGGCGTGTCAGCTATAGTCCGTCACAGTTGGCCTCAGGTGTTGATGCAGAGATCAGCGGTGGCGGCGTTCGTCAGTTAAAGCTGAACTCGTCGGTACTTTGAGGTGTGGAGTGGCTCCCTCACGACACCCACACCCTCGTGGGTCGTCTCAGGTGTGGAGTGGCTCCCTCACGACACCCACACCCTCGTGGGTCGTCTCAGGTGTGGAGTGGCTCCCTCACGACACCCACACCCTCGTGGGTCGTCTCAGGTGTGGAGTGGCTCCCTCATGACACCCACACCCTCGTGGGTCGTCTCAGGTGTGGAGTGGCTACACCTACACCCTCGTTCTTCTTCCTTATGGGCAAATAGAAGACTGGCACAAAGGAAGCAGTCTTCAAGAGGTAACATTGGTTCAATGTGTTTGACAGTGACGCAGACAGGAATATGTCTGGCAGTGACGCAGACAGGGATAAGTCTGGTGAGGTGTTGTGAGGCCGGACAGGCAGACCCGGGATGAAGTTAATCAAGTTGTATTGAAGTGGAGTGAGCCGGCTGGTGGTCACCTCTCCTGGCTCCCCCATCCCCCAGCCCTGCCCCAGTCCATTCCAGCCCTGCCCTAGTCCACTCCAGCCCTGCCCCAGTCCACCCCAGCCCTGCCCCAGTCCACCCCAGCCCTGCCCCAGTCCACCCCAGCCCTGTGTGTCATGTCATCGGCATGTCAGATGAATGACTGTGTCACGAGAGAGACACCCCGGTGCGTGTTGATGGACTGTGGGTCTGACTCACTGGCTAGCAATTAAGGTAGAAGCCAGGAAGCACGAGCCGAGAAATAGTGTGGTTTTCGGACGATGTCACAATAACGTGGGTGAGGGTATGATGATCAACTCATACATCAGGTAATGGAGGAACGACGACGTTTCGGTCCATCCTGGACCATTATCAAGTCAACACGTCTTAATAAGGGTCCAGGACGGAGCAAAACGTAGTCGTTCCTTCATTGTCTGATGTGTCGTTTGATCATATTATGGTTTTTTTTCTGGAGAGGGAATGGGAGCAGTAGGGAAGGAATACGTGTTAATGGTCACACACAGGAACGAGATTAATTAATTCTCACAGTGTGACGGATGTTCTTGAGTGTGAAATAAAAAGTCACAATAGTTGGCGGTCTCTGGTGGTTGCATCAGCGCTTCGTGGTCATTCATGAATGAACAGAAAAGGATATTTCTTGTCTGAATGAACAGGTGAGTTAATGATAGGAAAAGGCTCCACGAGTAATGTACAAGATAAAGATGGTGTTATGTGTGTGTAAGGGATAATGGCATGAGACTGATGAAGTGTGTAATGACAGTAGACTGTGTATTACAAATAAATACAATAGGTACAAATGTGTACTTGTGTATATATTGTGGATAAGAGTCTAATTACATGTGTCTCTTCATGAGCACATAATATGTGATATAGGCAGAGGAGAAACACACACATGTTGACACGCAAAAAAATCAAGGAATTTGGTTGATTACTTAAGAGAGAGCGGGAAGTTACCTTCCTAGTCTTGGGTGTGAATACATCTGAAATTAATTGAATTAGGAAATTTACGCCTATGGCCATGCGCTGGAATTGGAAAATTATTCAACGCAGAAAATTAAAGTAAATATATGTGCAATTTCCAGTAATAAATGCAATTTATAACGAAAACACCGAATGCCATGTGGACGTATCTATACGGATTTTTTGGTTAAGCAGAGTTATTAGGTATATGTTGTTGAACAAGCTGGTAGGTGGGTGAGAGGGAGGGCCTGGGGGGTGAGGGTGCTGGTAGGTGGGTGAGAGGGAGTGCCTGGGGGGTGAGGGTGCTGGTAGATGGGTGAGAGGGAGTGCCTGGTGTTATGAGGACGCTTGGAGCTGAGGATCAAGAGAAAGCGAACACCATCAATACAGATCAAGGAAAGTAAACATGATACAATGACAACTAAATAACCCAATAACAAAGGAAGAAAAATTATTAAAATATATAAAAATAATTCATCCTCCTATTTTGGTAGTGCTTATAGTAACGATGAGTAATATATAAGTAACGATAGTAACTTATATATATGGATATAAGGATGCGGATATAATATTTATATTATATCTTATAAGTAACGATAGTATATATATACGCCGACGAACAACGAAATTAGAAAGTAGAAATCTGAACTATTAAGTTGGACAAAAAAGAAAACTATTTTTGACTTGTGTTGCTTTGACAAACTAAACTAACTTAACCTAACTTTCCTAGGCTTAATACACGATATCTGAGGCCTAATATAGTACATATGTGTGCTATATTAGGCCTAGGAATATTTATTTGTGTTTTATCTTTATTTATTTTAAAAGAATTCGTTATTCATTAGTATACTACTATCTAAACAGGAGGATGGATTGCAATAATAATAATAATTTATTCTTTATAAGATGGCAGGAAGTGCAGCTGGAGACTAAACAGGGAATATACATATTTAGGATAAATAAATGAAAAGGTTTAGTGGTGACTAGGAAATTAAATGGAGAGA